AATGAATTTGAATGATTGTAGTATCAGACTGCAACAGAGCAAAATTGAAATAAGTGAAGGGGGTCTGAATACTTTCCAAATGCACTGTATACAGGTAGTCCTCATTTAGCAACCATAGGTGGGACCGGCAACTTGATTGTTAAGCAAAGCGGTCTCTAAGTGAAACCGCAACTATGCTTATGATCTTACTTCAGCTTTCCTTTGCTTTACCCTGTGAAGGTAATAAGTGTGAGGACTGGTCATAAAGTTACTTTTTCACTGCTGTGGTAACTGCAAACAGTCACTAAATAAGGCAGTCACTAAACAAGGACTACCTGTAATACATTTTTGAAAGCAATATTAACTTCAAGATTCACTCACTTTAATAAAACAAGTATTTTCATTATATTCAGCTTTTATTCACAATACCTAACAGTATCTTCAAGTCCTCTAAAGCAGATTTTGTTCTGTAAATTTCTTTTTGTTTGTTTGTTTGTTTGGTCATTTCAGCATGCCAGTGCTTCTCTATCCTCTATAAGGAAATATTGTATTTAGGGATTCTGACCCTCAAATACATACCATATAAATTTCTGCAACTTCTTTTGCAAAATATATGGAAATGGGTGGTTTGGGACAGAGGATTAACAAAGAGGCAGTTGTTTGATGAGAGCCACAAGAAGGATCTGAAGCTGAATGAATGCATATTTAAACATGTTTGAGAAAAACATAGTTGCTCCTTTTATTTGCCACATGTTTGTAAAAGTCTCTATTACCCACACTCAGCACTGGAATCATTCCTATATATTCTCATTATTTCACCCCTTTTCAATGGCTTTTACCATTCAAACTTTTCTTCTGCATGGTTCTCAAGAGGCTCAGTATGAATATTTTCTGGTCATAAGACAGATATAATGCTAAGCCCATCCACTAATGCTGTGAAAGCAACAGAGAGACTTGTTACATTCACATGAATTTAAACAGCATTGCCATAAGTACAAAGGCAATAGAATCTTAGTCTATTTCTGCTCTAGCCCTGCAATTGAAGCAATCAGATATTATTATTATTATTATTATTATTATTATTATTATTATTACTATTTTATATCCTGTGACGATACCTTTAACACTATTAAACAACATCTGCCTATCCCAGGTCCTTGGGAAGGACTCGATAGGTGGATAAAAATGCCAAAACCAGTCTAAACATCGGGCTGACTGTATAACCAACCATAATAATAACAATAACAATTTGCAGGCCTTTATATTTTGTGATTTTTTCCAGTTCTTTCTCTTCTCTTCTGCTGCCTCCAGGTATTGCAATGTCCATTATCTGGACTTTTTTGTCTTTCTTATCAACAATTGTTAAGTTTGGGGTGTTGTGTGGCAGGTGCTTGTCTGTCTGAATTCTAAAGTCCCAGAGCATTTCTACTTTGCAAATAGAAGTAGAACGACTATAGCAAAAGAAAGCAAAAATAGTACTAATAGTAATAGGTGCCTCAGGTGCAATCCCAAAACATCTGGAGCACCACTTGAAGACCATCCGCATTGACAAAATCACCATCAGTCAATCAG